TGGGTCCCACCTGACCCCCTTAGAGGGTAATTTATTTTACCCTTATTTTACCAGATTCTGGCATTAAATTGTGCCACCTGAAGTGAATACAAAATCAAGGGAAACAACATTCAGGCCACATCCTCTGCCCCATTTCATCCACAGCTGTCATCCTGTCACAGTCCTAGTTTCTCTGCAGTGCTAACAAGTGATTAACATGTAGCTAATGTTCATTTACATCTGCAAGCATTAGCTACGCTGATTTTTTTTTTTTTCTACTAAAGCTAAGCTTTTAGCTAGCTAGCTACAAGTGAAGTTGTAGCACTCAGAGAGAGGAAAAAAAAGAAATGTCCAGAAAATCAATGAAATTCCTGACTGAGCACACTAACGTTAAAATTAGTAACACCATCACTAACGCCGGGTATATTTTACCCAATATAATATTCCGGATATAATATAGTTTTCATCAATTTATGTAAAAGTACAACACTGTATGACAAATTGTCGGACTGGGACATGTGAGCCTTGTCTGGTGAAGGCTCAGTTTGGTTCTGGTATGGAGTCTTTCCAAGGAAATTCATGTAGTCAAAGAAATTTGGTCATTTTTCCCCTCTGAAAAAATGCCATTTTTTGTCAATCTCTGCCACAGTTGTCAGTGATGCAGGAAGACTGTGCCTTCACCAGACAAGGCTCACATGTCCCAGGAATGGCTGGACCAAAGAACAAGTTCCCAGCTCCATTATTTTTTCTGTTTGGAAATTTCTCATTCAGGATTACCTGATTTTTCAATAATTTTGCTGCCTTTTTATAGGGTCCCCCATGGTACCTTTTTAAAAAAATTTTATGTGATATTGTATATTAGGAAATTAAAGAAGAGTACTACAATTTGTCATACAGTGTTGTACTTTGACATAAATTAATGAAAACTATATTTTATCCAGATTATTATATCGGGTAAAATATACCCGGCGTTAGAGGGCAACATATTTAATGGGTGGAATTTACCCAATGTTAGTGTTCATGTGTTGAAATCAGGTGCTCTTTGCACTTTTCAAGGGAAACAACTTTCAGGCCGGCCACATCCTCTGCCCCATTTCATCCACAGCTGTCATCCTGTCACAGGCCTAGTTTCTCTGCAATGCTAACAAGTTATTAACATGTAGCTAATGTTAATTTACATCTGCCCGGCGTTTGTGATAGTGTGACTAATTTTAGCGTTAGTGTTCTAGGGTTAAAGCAGGTTTAACTTGAAGAACGGTCAGACGGGCATGCGGTTGCAGCGCGGACCGAGGACCCGACAAACGCTGCTTGCAGCTTTAATTTAAACTGTAACCTCATCTATGACCTACTGGTGCAACTATAGCATTTATATTGTGGTGTGAAAGGAATCACATGTGCTTCTGCTGTCCTTGTTGAAAACTCTGCATTGGTCAGCACATAAGAATGCAGAAACCATTAACTGGCCTTACGCGAAGGCTGACAGCCTGCGTAAAAGAATTAGTTTATCTAACATACTGACATAAGACATTACATAAAATTGGAGTTACTAAGTCATTGCTCAGTCAGCTGCCGACACTATTAACTTGGTAACACAGAAAGCGAGATGCCTGTTTAGCTTGTGTCTGAAGGTGAATATTTGTTGACTAACTACAGCAACCATGCACACCTGGTTGTTGACCACCACATGTATGGTTCCATGGGTGGTGTAGGACGGCAGGTCTGACAGGTGGAATGTCTCGTACACAAGGCCCTGGCCTGCAAACGCAGCATCGCCATGAATCAGAATGGACATCACCTGCAAATCACATTACAAACATGTTTGAAAAACAGCCACAATTTCTAAAAGTATCTGCAATTTTAACAACCTGAACGAGCGTACCCTCTTGCCCTCAGTGTCTCCACAGTAGAACTGCTCTGCCTTGGTCTTTCCCTGCACCACAGGATCCACAGCTTCCAGGTGGGATGGGTTTGCCATGAGGGACAGCGTGATGTACCGGTCGCTGACCCGGTTCATCCTCCTGTGATACATACCCAGGTGATATTTCACATCACCAGAACCCTGAGGTATAAAACATGAAGAGGTACAGTTTAGGGTGCCACAAAAATATGTTAAAAAACAACGCACTACTACATAATGTTCAAAAACTATAAAAAATAACGTCAAATATCTATCTGTACAATAAAATATTTTTACCTGTTTTTTTGTTTACAGTTAACATGTAAATTAATACTTTTTTCCTCTGATTTCACTAGTTATTATCTGTAATTTAACAAAAAAAAAAATCATTTTCTCATTTTGGAAAAACAATGTACCAACTACATGTTGCATCTCTGGTGCAATACAACACAAGACAGCTGTTTAAAGCAAATAAAAAGAATCTGATTAGATCTCCATTAACTTCAACTATAGATAACATGCTGACTTATGGTAATCTAGAATAATAATCTACAGCTTTACAGAGAAAACACTCATTCAAATTTGCTCAAACCTCGTCTGCAGCCTCTAACTTGGAGTCGAACTGGCAGAAGATTTGTTCCAGCTCCTTCCGGATCACATTGGCCAGCACATTGAGCCTCCCTCTGAAGAGACACGCATGGAGACAGGGACATCAGTGAGAATTAACCTGCTTTAGTTTTGTTTAACTATATAAAAAGACTGAATTTCTACAGGTCACTGGATTATTGGGCATCACTGGGTTAAATAGAAATTAAAGAACCTCTGATAAGAGTTTGATAAGTAATCGAGGACAGGAGAAAGCACAGTTAACAGAATAGAAAGCCTCCGTGTGTGGAGGAGACAACAGTTTAACCCTCTGAACTTTTATCACATTTTTATTCACTGTGGGATAATTCGTCTTTGCAATATAAAGTCTTGCATCTCTATGAAAAAGCACAACCATGGTGGAAACAGAGAGAACTGAAAAATGTCTTTTGTTCTTTTGTTCAAATGCGATAAAGCAACAAAAAGAAAAAACACTAAGTTTCTTTGATTTTTTATTTTTTTTTGTTAAACAGAAAAGTATTTGGATCGATGTGTACATTTGGATCAAATGTTTTCCCTAATGATGAACTCTGAAGAATGCTGAATGTATCGTCCAGCAACTTGCTCCTTTGTATACTGTTTTTGAGCCATGCTGCATTTTTTTTTATTGATCCAGTATATTTTGTTGTCCTCATAGTTTTTATTATTGCCTCCTCTTTGCTTTATGGAAACACTGCCTGCAGTTCACCTAGAAAACTCTCAGAATTTTTGTCAAGTGACTGTTGGCCACTGTTAAGTCAGTCATTGCCTCTCGTTTGTGATGAGGTGCACAGATATTTTTATAGAAGCAGTTTATTTTGAATCATTTTTAAGTGCAGAATAAACTGATTTTGATTAAATATCACAATTTTAAGCCTCTATTTTCTTCGCTTTCCAGATGGAACCACACGCTATACAACTCATTCAAGGATTGTTTTGATGGTTTCTGGCTCTGGTTTAGAGTGTTATGGTAAAAAGAGAAAAAAAAGATGGAAGGACTGTACCTGTGAGACATCCCCATGATAACGCTCTCCACTCCGTTCAGACTGGACTTATCGATGATGGTCTTGAGTGCCGGGATGAGAGACTCACAACCTTCCAAACCAAAGCGCTTCTCCGAGGACCACTTTCTCTGGAGAAACTCTTCAAACCTGGAAACAGTCAGTGAGTGCTGCTGCTTCACATTGTGGCTCAGAACATCTATTCCCCTTTCCATCTGCCCCCCAGAAAACACGTCCTTCTGTAGCTGCTCTGCATGCTTTTCCAGTTAATTACGAAGGTGTGCTGAGAAATGTGAAGAAACACAGACAGACCTGGTGGACCGGATCATTCTGGCCAGCAGGGTCCTCTTCTCCTCCAGAGTGAAATTCATGATTCCTGGAGTCTCAAACTTCTGTCTGATCCATCGGCACTGTTCCAGGTCATTAATGAACATGAACTCCACTCCGATGTGCTGACAGTAGGCCATCTAGAAGTCACAGGAACAGGCATGCTGTGTCTCTTTGAATGCTCAGTGTTTAAGGCAAAGGCTAGAGATTAATGAGTACATTCTTGACTGACATTTACATTGGGTTATTCTATGTCGAATCATAAGGAGCCTTCAGCTCAACCGTGTCTGAGTTAACTGAAATTTTTGTAGAATAAAATGGGAATATTTATGAAGATATCTGTGAAATTTTAGACTGAAATACTATATTCTTTCTGTGAAATTTTAGATTTTTTAATTCCCGCCAACAAACTTCTGCATTTTTTTTTTTTTTTTTAATTTAAATTGAAATTTAGGGCTATGTTTTTATAATGTGTAATATTGGACAAGTAGATTTAGCTGCAAGCTCGTCGGCCTCTAGTAGACTAGCTAGTTGGGGTGCATTATTTATATGTTGCCTCTCGGCGATGCCTCAATTCTGGTCAACATTATCCATCCATCCACGGACAATTTAGAATCACCAATTAACCTCAACATATTTTTGGACTGTGGGAGGAAACTGGAGAACCCGGAGAGAACCCACGCTGCACAGAGAGAACATGCAAACTCCACACAGAAAGATCCCGGGTGTCCTAACAAATCAGGGATCTTCTTGCTGCGAGGCAACGGTGCTAACCACTGAGTCACTGTGCCACCCTGGTTAAGGTTAATTTAAGTCTAAACAGATGCAAAGATTTCTACAATAGCAGGAACGTACTCTGTTTAATTACTTATTTGTGTAAGTGGAAACTTTAATGATACTTCCAGTGTGTTTAAGTAAGTTAAAGAAAACTTAGACTTTTAAACTGTTGATGGATGATGCTCTCTGCATGAAAGCTGCAACAAAAATAAAGTTATTATAAATACAATGATGATACAATAATGAAAAATCTGTATTTGTATTAATAGTAACACAGTTTTTAAATTAGCAAAAAAAAGTATTGTAATGTAATCAATATTTGCTGCTATTTAAAAGAAAAAAAATGTAAGGATTAGAATTTATTAAGGATTTTATAACTATCATTCATTCTGGTACAATGTTTGATCTTAAAATCAAATTTTTACTGTAATAAAATCAGCCAAAAATATAATTATTTTACAGATATTTGTCGTTTCCTTTTTTTATGATTTTGAATTACCTTCACCTTACAAAAAACAATCATGCATTTTGGTTCTTTCATGGATTTAATATTACCAGGTCTTCTGGTAATATGACAAGATCTGTTGGGTCAGAAATATATACACAGCAACTTGAATTATTTGTTTTGGTGGAGTAGACAGTTGTGTTAACAAAATTGCCTGGTAACTTCTGGTGAATGACTGCAATGGACTACCAAAATCGTCTTTGCAACCAGTCTTTTGGAAGTATGAAGTGCATGGTACAGCTGTGCTGTTGCCACATTCAGAAAGAACTTTTGTTCACAGCTGTTGGTATTAATTTTACCTCAAGGCGGCGAATAATCTCTCTAAGTGGCAGAACACTCTCGTTGCCGCCGATGTAGGTGGTGGTGGGAAGACGGAACACCTTGTCCAAGTCACTTTCAACCAACCCGTAAAAACCTGTTGTGAACACATTGACATGAAAAAAGGTCACAAAAACAAGCAGAGACAAGCAAGGCAGGCTAATGCAGAGGTGGAGAGACAGGGAGAAATGGAGCAGAAAAGAAAAACATGAGACCACGACATAAAACCATTACACAGAAACAGAAGAGGAGAAATGAAGAAAACTTCATTGAATTTAAGATTTCCTAGAATTTGTAATCCCTGCTTTGTTTTCATCTTCACTCTTTTAACTCCCTGTGCAGCTGTCTAATCTGGAAGATTACTCCAAAAAGCTGCAGTCAGACTCCTGTGGGAGCAGAAACATTATTAACACAACTCTTTGTGCCTCAATTCATCATTATGTTTACTAGTAAACTTTAAGAAAGGAATTTTTTAGTATCCAAAACCCTGCAGACTACTTTCCTAATAGATCAATCAATAATTTAAAAGAAAAATGTTTGTCATATTTCCCATAACTCAAAGACAGTCAGTAAAATGATGATTAAACATAAATGATTGTCTTTGGAGTCAACAAGTCAGTGCCTAGGTGCACGCTCTAGGAGTGAAGCCAGAAATCTGACAGCAGGTGACGTGTGAGCCAGCAGATTTTGACAGCCGGCACCTGC